TCCCGCAATCCGGGACTGCTCGCCTGCCTAACCGCTCGATTGCCTGCCTGCCTGCTTGCCCCCTAACCCTTCTACCTGCCTGCATGATCACCCCTAACCACTCTGCCTGCCTACCTAATCACCCCTAATCCCTCTGCCTGCCTGCCTCATTGCCCCTACCCACTTGTCTGCTTGCCTGATTGCTCCTAACTGCCCACCTGCCTGCCTAATCACCCCTAACTGCCTCTGCCTCGCCGCCGCCGCTTCATCCGGAAGGACATCCAGAATGACGTCCAGCTGTCCAGTCTAATTAGTGTATTACACTTATTATTATAGAAGATATTGAGGACATGCACAGAAAGGAAAGAATTTTACAAATGAAGATATTATTTCACTAGAATGGTAATCCTCCTTTCTCCAGTTATTTGTTTTCCCAAATCTGTACAGTTTACCTTCTGCACACACCTTCCTTTAGCTACTGGAAGTACTGAGGAAGACTGGAAAAAGTTTTGAACGTTCACAGGAAGCTTCTGTGATTAAAGTGGAAAGATCACCAGGCCTGGATCACAAGTCTTCTTTTCCTGTTCCTGACAGTGATGGTTTCACATTAGGTAAGTTATCTAACTAATATACAGGGTTGGGCCTAAGTAGGTTTACAGTGTGGAGTATGTGAAAAAAAGTTTATTCTTGTATTATTATTTATTAATTATTGTATTATTTTCCATACAAACAACTGTAAATCCTACTTTTGTTGTTATGGTTCTTTTTAAAACCAAGAAAGACACATTGAGGTGAATCTATTATAATTATATAAAGAAGGACAAAACTTGTATTACACTTAGATTGCTTTACTTGTGATTCTCCTCTCACCCCAGCCCTAAAGGCTGTCCTTATGTGAATGAAATTGAATGTGTACCTGTTTCAGAAAAGTAGGATGTAGTTGGAGGGATGGAGAAGAGCTGTCTACGCAATACATATTGTGTTTTCAAGTTTCAGAGACTTAAAATTATCTCAGGTGATCCAATTGTTTTCAAAAATCAGTAACAAAAAGGATGGTAAGTACACTTATTCATTCAGTTTTTCCTATGCATTTTCAGATTTACATATAAATGCCGATTATAAATGGTGTAGTCATATTTTAAGAAGGGAATTTTGAAAAATCTAGTTCTTTTGTGTATTATCTGAATATGCAATATGAATGAGAAACCAGAATAATCTGTATAGGATCACATTTCAAACTTCAAAGAAGTTTTTTAAAACTTCTTTGAATCAAGAGAAAATATGATAAATAGCACATCTCAAATTACTTTCCCCTAAAGTTAATAGTTCCTAAAAGGCAGAAGTTAAGTCAGCTGGAATACTGAAGGTGACCAATTGTCTGGTTGACTCTGTGCAATGGCACCTTCTGATGGCCTGCGAGGGGGACTGTCAGACCTAAAACCTATTCTGCCATCATCTTTCCTCTCAGGTAAGTGGTTAGGGTGGGGAAGAGGAGGGAGACAAGCAAATCAAAACCATTGAGACCTTCACAGAACTACACATGCCTTTGTGCCAAGCGAGAGGAGGGAAGGGTAGAGTGTAAAAGAAAGAAAAAAGAAAAAAAGCCCTACAGAGGTGAGTCTGATAAATCTGACTTGTATCCCTATACCTTTCTCTCTTGAGAGACACTGAAGAGTACAGGTTTAACACGAGGAGTCAGAGCCAGGATGTGCTCTGTCTGTAACTCTTCCACATTAATAGCATGATCAATTCCACTTCCGGCCAATTCTCACACAATTACTCCATCCCAGACAATGCTCTCCCCCTCTAAGCACTTCTCTAACGGTGACTCTAGGAAAAACTGCTCTTATCTTCATTCTAATTATGAATTAAACATTATGATCTAATCAAATCAAGATGGAGTTACTATAGAGTAGTAGTGTTAATGATAATGTCTATCCAGAACATTAGTTGAACAGAAAATATACAAAAGAGCCATTAACCTACTAAGTCCTTGAACATACCCACTTGTTTTCTTCAAAATTAAAAACAGAAAACCAAACCAACTCTAAAATCTATTTTTCCTGAATAGTTTTTGAAAAATGTAAAATGAAAAAGTTATTTTTGTTCAATTATCACTACTGTAGTAGAACTTTCTACAGAACTTACAAAGTAATGTTTTACTTACTTTGTGTATGAAATATTTTCTGTGAGTTGGCCTAAAGGCTTTTTTATCCATGAGAAAGTATGTTCTGAGTTCAGAATATCCAACATACCCCCAAGTGGGGAACCCTTTCCTAACCCCGGCACCTGCGTGCCCTGCACTGACCGTTTCTTCTGACGCCGTGGGAGCCGTGGACCCCGCACCCAGAGGAGCAGACACACAGGAGGCGGAAGCAGTCCCCGCGGAGGTGATGGACGTGGCAGAGGGAAAGGCGGCAGTGCTGGCCACTCCCATGGCTGCTGCTGCTGAGGACGGTGCTGGGGCGGCTCCTGAGGGTATCGGAGCCGAAGGATCCAGATGAACAGGACCATATTCCTCCTTCTTACTATTTGTGAAGTCTGGCCGTAAAAATCACAAGTTAATTCCATTACATTCTTCCAAGTGAAGATTACTTTCGTCTCCCAACAATTTTAATACATAACAGCTACAATTTGGTCTTAATAGAAATGTGTACAAATTTGTCATATATTCTATACATGTTTAGTTAATAGTTTGTCACTGTTAACTGATCAATGTCAGCATTAACTACTGAAGACTTCAAATCACTTCCTTCAACTTGTGAAAGCAAATGAATGATTTGCTCTTACTTAAAAGAAAAAATGATCATGGAAGTGAACAATAAGATTTATTATAGACGAAATAAAGACATTCCATGTCTCCTTCGCATACGCATTGTAGTAGAAGTTGAATCTACAACTGCATGTGCATCCTTCAGAGAATCAGAGTATAAAGCATATGTCATCGTTAAAAAGGTGACACTTATTACATTAGGTGGAGTGGGGGAAGGAACTAACCCTGTCATCTCACATTAGAGATTAGCATCCATTTTTACCTCCAAGGATAAATTCATCATCTCCAGAAAATGTCTATGTGACTCCTGCATGAGCCCCGACCAGGGCCCGGGCTGGGAGGCACCAATAACGAAGGTACACGTCTTTAAGTGGAATTGAACCTGGGACCTTTTGGTCCGCAGGCAACACTCTATCCACTGAGCCAAACCAGGTAAGGCAACTAAGGTTCTGCTTTATATTTTCCATCCCAATATTAGAATTTGGTTAAAATTTCTACTTAAAACCATATTTTTGTGATACAAAAGAAAGGGTGAGGGTGTTCAGAATATCTGAATGGAGTATGTAACCCTATGTTTAAATAGTTTGCTGTGTTGTCCTCTTTCCATCTAGAATTATGGGTTTTTGTGTAAGTCCTTTTCTTATACTAAATTTATATAAAAAAATAAAAACTTTGATTAACAAAGTTTAATGAGGACCATAATGCGCGTGTCCTTTGAAATCATTTGTTGAAAGGGGCTAATTCAATATAAAATACTGCTTTTGCTTTGAAATCAACACATACACATACTGAGTTTTAACATGCTTTTGATAGAAAGTGATTCTGACTATCTGTTTTTAGGTGGGTTGCAGACTTCATATCAGATGTGGGACCAGGACACAGGTCAGGTCTGGCCAAGGGGCTCCCTGAAAGATGACCCAGTCTCCCTTACCTGGGTGGAGTATGCAGTTTGTAAGTTTTAATAATTATTCTTGCTTTAACTGGGATAAATTTTTTCAATTGTTAAGTATTTTTCTACTCTTCCTAAAATTGCTTTGAAAATTGGCAGGTATCATTTTAAAGGCCATTTTTATTGTCACACTTTGCCTTCTCTCTTTTTAAAAATTATTTTTATTGATTTCAGAGAGGAAGGAAGAGGGAGATAGAAACATCAATGATGAAAGAAAATCATTGACTGGCTGCCTCCTGCATGCCCCTCACTGGGGATCCAGCCCACAACCCAGGCATGTGCCTCGCCCGACCGGGAATTGAACCTTGACCTCCTGATTCATGGGTTGATGCTCAATCACTGAGCCACTCTGGCCAGGCACACTTTGCCTTCTTCATAGAAACTTCTAACTTACAAATATAAGATTTAGGATATTGCACAACATGAGATACATTGCAGATGATAGCAAAAAATCAGGACAAATAAAAAAAAAATCAAATATTAGTTTTTTTCTAACAAGACAGATACATTAGGAACATTGCATTATTAAAAACTACATTTAAAAAAGCAATTGTTTTAAGGGAGGAAAGGGGACCAGTTGTAATTTTTTTCTTGTGAGAACTAATAGCTGTTATTAAAATGCCACAAAACCTAAATATCACAGAGCAAACCCAGCATTAGATCACAGTGAACTTTGCCTTTGGTAGGTCCCCCAGCCCTACTGCTTACTGTGTGTCTTATTATTCCTGGTATCTTTATCCCTCATTATGATAAACGTAGCACAAGGCCACTCAAAACCATTGGGTTCCCAGAACTTGGCATTAGCTGCAGAAGACGGTGGATGTAAAAGCAACAGGAGCAAAACAAATCATGTTGGGTAATTATCAGAATACATTTTCTTCAAATCCTGTTATGGATGTTTGCCTGTAGGAGACATAGCTGTATTTGAATTTAAAATTTAAGATGATCAATTTATAAAGGTGGCAAAACACTCTGTCCTAAGTCAATTCATGTGCATAACTATGTTATGAAAAACAGATTTCTTGTAATTAAATGCAAGAAGTTCGAATAATAATTTGTCACCTTACTTGTGGAACCTAATATGTCTTCTGAGTAGATAATTAAATTCTTCAATTTAATACATATAACCTGCTAATAATTGTAACTAAAAGCAGACTAGTCTATTATTGGGGGTGGTGAGTTTGTTTTCAGCATTGATACTCAATTAAAAGACCATTTATTAGAGAAATTAAGCACACTTTGGGGTATCAGCAAGATAAACTATTTAGCCTTGATAATCTATAATTCTATGTTTCTAACCTACATATGGGCCATATACTCCAACTGTTGCAGAGAGAAAACAATTTGCTTTAATTCACTGTCACCCACAACATGCACAGTTTGTATAATAAAAGTTTGTTGATGTTTTAAAATGAAGCACAGAGAAGTTATTCACTGGAATGAAATCATGTTAATGACGTTACAAAATGAAACTGCCTCATGGGTCAGTTAACCATGAGTCTTGGATAGGATTTACTATCAGGGAATACTGCAAAATGTTCGTGTTTCACATGAAACATGGGAGGCTGACTTCACTGAATTAAAGACTACAGTAATGTCCAGCTGGTGTGGCTTAGTGGTTGAGCGTCAACCTATGAACCAGGAGATCATGGTTCGATTCCAGGTCAGAGTATATCCCCGGGTTGCAGGCTTGATCCCCAGTGTGGGGGGTGCAGAAGAAAGTTGATCAATGATTTTTCTCTCATCAATGATGTTTCTATCTCTCTCCCTCTCCCTTCCACTCTGAAATCAATAAAAATATATATTTTTAAAAAGCCACTGTAAAATAAAAAATACTTAAGCATGTAAGATGATAGTCATGCTATAATTACTATAGTCTTTTTAAAAAGTGTATTTCAAAAAAATTCTCTCTATTAAGCTAAATAAGGTAAAGAAGGTTTATATTATCCTGTTTGTTCAGAGAAGAAAACCAAAGCCCAATAAGGAAACTAGGCCTCAATGCAAATTGGTGGCAAAGGACTCTTGTCATGTGCTCATCTAAGCCATGTTCATGAAACTGACACAAACAACTCAGATCCGAGCCAATACATGGATTTTTCTTGAAATAATTTTCTAATTTTTTATTTCTATAGACAGATCTATATTTATAACTTTTGGAAATGAGTTTTAATTGCGGTTTCTCTTAAACTGGAAAACAAGCAATTTTTTAAAAATGGAAAACCATGACTAGATAAGAAATATTTAATCAACAAAATAGTCCAAGGAAACTGGCTACTTAGGAAAAGACAAAAATAGAAATTTTGCACTTAAAGGCATTATACATTCAAAGCATTGTTGTAACTCTGAGCGTATATACTTAAGAGTTTAAGTAACCCTGAGTAGTGAATTTTCATGATGGATTTAAAACTGGATATGACACTATGAAGTTAAAAATACAGTGCCTGGCCGCAGCTGGTTTGCTCAGTGGATAGAGCATCGGCCTGCAGGCTGAAGGGTCCCGGGTTCAATTCCGGTCAAGGGCACATGCCTGGGTTGCGGGCTCCATCCCCAGTAGGGGGCATGCAGGAGGCAGCCAATCAATGATTCTCCCTCTCCCTTCTTCTCTGAAGTTAATTAAAAAAAATACATATATATTAAAAAGAAAAAACAGTACCTGAATAAGACGTATCTATTGCAAAAAATTAGTACTAAAGACCACACTAATCACTGAAATCTCAAATTCTTTTTGAAAGTAGGCAGAGACTCTTAAGTAAAACACTAACCTGCATCATTTCTGTTTTGAAACATTGTCATGGCTTCAAGATTTAATGCACAGACCCCCCGCATGAAAGCTTTCTTCATGGAATCTTCAAAGTGCTCTTTTTCATGTTGCATTCTTTGAATCTCAGCTTTTGCATTTTCCAAAGCTCCAGATAACTAAAATAAGGCGAATTTTTTTTAAAAAGGGTTGTAATACAAGGAAGGATATTATTTATTGTTAAAAAGTAGACTTACACTGTGAAGTATTTTTAGGTGAAATACAGGTACTAAAAACACTTTGCCACATGCCTCTTCTGCTATGTGTCTCACTTTATTTTAAACGGTGCATCTTACTTTTCGTGTCTTTCAACAAACCATTTCCATTTCTAACCATAAAGTCAAGGTTCAAACAAGGGTAACTGTATACCAGTCCCACTGAAGGTTGCTGATGTGTTTTAATCATACAAAAAGATATACCATTTCTTACCATAAATCTTTTATGTAGAATATTAAACAAAATACATTAGGAGCCACAAATAGTCCTCTCTCCTTTAGAAAAAAAAAATAACTAAGTGCCTGTAATATTAACAGCATTTTAAAAAACTAAATGATACTATAGAATTTAAAGTGCAAAGTGATATTAGTTGCAACACATTTTCCCTTAGATGAAATATAAAGGGACTCCATTTTTTGCATGTCATTTTCAATTGCAGAAAATTGTTTGTATTATGATACTGATTTTTAACATTAAGAACTTTGTACTATAATAATATTTTTTCCTTTTAGTATTTTATTTCAAGAGGCCTACTGCATTCTACAACACAGTTTTTATTTCATTTTAAGTCTCAAATGTTTTCCCATGGAAACATTAATTTTATTATTAGAAGTCAATGGGAAGATAATTCCAATTTGTATCTAACTGCTTTAAATCAACCTTATATGACTAAAGTTTATTTAAATTAACAAGAGGATAAACATTTTTGGTTTTGGTCTCTATTCTTGGCTAAATAAAAGCCAAAAGAAGTATAAGAAAGCATGCTTTAAGAGACATAAGGATCTATGAGTGATTTACATTGTCAAGACACATGTACACACAAGAGTTCCAACGTAAGTTTGGAGGCCAGAGTTATAACTTTTAAAGAATAAATAAATCTGTAAATCTGACTCATTAGTGTTGTTCTTCCCCAAATAGTCACATAGTCTCATTTGAAGATACACTGCATTAAATGGAATTAGAAATGGGTCACTCTGCCTAACTATAATGGAACAGTGAGTGATGCTACCCATCTTGTTTATTTCTATTAAAGGAAAGTAAAAATAAATTAAAAAATAGAAGTTTTACCACAGCAACTTTGTTTTCATAATCATTGGAAATTTGGACACAAACTTCTTCAGCTCTTGCTTGACAAGCTCGCTCTACCAAGTCCTTCCACTTCTTTTGCACCGTAGAATGCCAGCCTATCCACACTTTCTTCAGTAAATTTCTCTGGAAGTACTGGTCAGCTAGTTTCCCTTCATAAGCCTAAATGAAAGTATTATAACCTTAAAACACAGTGCACTGGTAAATACACTGGCAGTAATAAAAAGAAACCTAACATGGTGGTGAGCAGTGTACACACATTATTATTTAATCCTGTGTAGTTATTCTTATCTGCATAGAGGAGAACAGGCTTATAGAGGTTAGGTAACCTGCCCAAGTAGACAGGGAAAAGCCATCCTTGCCTCATTCCAGAGCCTAAGCTCTTATCCATTACACATCATTGTTTTATGTAACCAAGTTAGGGGTTAAACAACAACAAAAAACAAATGAAAGAAAATGAGTAACTTGCCACTTGCCATCTTAGTTCTGAATCTGCATGACCCTTTAGCTGAAACCAGGACTAGGACAACAGAGTGGTTGGAAGGCAAAAAGGTAACTGTGGCTTCAGATGGCATTATTCTCCCTTCAGCTTGGTGGACACCACCATAAGCAAGATTAATTTAATTTACAGACTTTCATCATATATAGTGCCAAACTGATTCAAACAGGAACATATGCTATTCTTTTTATCAACGAATTTAAATTATTTGAAGAAGTAGTTCCAATTTTCAATCTTCTTAAATTTGAAAAGCTATTCAAAAAGTGATGGCAGCCTCAACTATTTCAGCTAACATAAAAAAAGTATATATTCTCATTATGTCACTTGATAAATAACTTTCAAAATATGGTCTAAATACTCATATTTTAAATAGCTCTTTTCAGTCTGATTAATGTAGATTGATCTATTGGGATTAATTTTAAAAAAATGAAAGCATTAGGAGGAATCCTATTACATGATAGTGGAACATTAAATATTGATGTTATTAATACTAAATATTGTTTTAAAAATATTAACATTTAATATTAATTTATTGGAACTAATGCACAGAGATCACTCAATGGCTCACATGAGCATTACATTAAAAAAAAATATATATATATATCCACCTCCTATACTCTTGAGTCTTTATATTCTGTCTTCTTGTAGGATATATACATATTCATACTTTTCCACTTCTGAGACAATAACTTATTATTCTCTCTCAGTTTGCCTGTACTCTGATATATTGATTCAGCTCTTATTTAATTAAAATGAACAGTGTTCAAATTTAAATTATGTACAAACTAAGGATAATTTTTAAAAAGCTATACAGACATGGCTTTAATTCTCACTCTAAGGCAAGTCTCCACAACGAACATTTATACAATTTTATAATGTTTAACTATAATGTTGCCTCTTTTTGAGGAGAATGTATTCAGGCATTTTACAAGGAGAAACAATATGGGAATCATATGATATGTTAAAGACTGTAAATTCTTTTTCCATATAACCATATTTGAGTCAAATTTGTTAAAGGGGTTCCATTACCAAGGCATTTGTAATTTAGGTACAATCCCTACTAACCTATTATGACAAAAGAAATGATATATCAATAGATCTATAAAATATGAGGTATTTTTCCCCAAACTATACCAAAATCAAATTCCTTGAAATGAGAGCAACCTTAAATTCATTTTGACGTGATCCTAAACAATTCTGAATCCAGAAGTCTAGTGTGTGTCAGTCGTCTTTTCGTTTTCATACTTACATCCTGTCTGGATTTGACATGGCCAATCCGCCAGTGGAAGAATGTTCTCATCAGCTCCATCCTTTCCTTTTGCTTGCCTATGGCGTGAGACAAGCTGGAGATCACCTGTGAACAGCAACGAGGCCAATTACTGTGAAGTTACAGTAACAGCTGCCAGTACAGTGACTTTTCTCATATATCAAAAAGTGCTGGAGAATATCAATGGATCACTACTATATTCATCCAGTTAACTTATTATCTTTAAAAAGACCAAAACATTTCTCCACATGAATACACTACATGAAGGGGAACAAAAGAGGAAAGAAATCTCATTATGTGTATCTTGGTAATCACCAAAAGAAATTTATGTACATGAAAATTAATAAAGGGAGGGACACAAGTAGGTTTAGTTATTCCTATGGAAAATAATACAATAATTAAAAATTAATACAAGAATAAACTCTGTGTTTCACCTAAACCTACTTGTGCCCTACCCTGTATGGTCAGACATTTAATTCAAGAAAAACAAGCATTCTTTGAAAGTTTTGCTACATATACAAAAAGTCTTCATAGACTAGAATTAAGGGCAGAGGCCTTTCTAGATCCTAAATACCTTTAGTACCTTGGATTATAAGTTTCTCAATAACTTTTATTTAAAAAATATTTTTATTGATTTCAGATTGAAAGAGAGAGAGGAACATCAATGATGAGAGAGAATCATTTATCAGCTGACTCCTGCACGCCTCCTGCAGGGGATTGAGCCAACAACTGCCAGTATGGAACCGTGACCTTCTGGTTCATATGTCAACACTCAACCCCCGAGTCATGCTGAACCACGCTGGCTGGCCAGGCTCAATAACTGTTTAATAATTTTTTTCTGAATTCAACAAAGTCATAAAAGAAAATAGTCATACTATGATGTACTTCTTCAATGTTGTTATTCTTGTTATTTTATTTATTTATTATTATATTTTTAAAATGTTTTTATTAATTTCAGAGAGAGGAAGGGAAAGGGAGAGAGGGATAGAAACATCATTGATGAGAGAGAATCAATGACCGGTTGCCTCCTGCACAACTCCTACTAGGGATCAATTTAGCAACCCGGGCATGTGCCCTGATCAGGAACTGAACCATAACCTACTCATGGGTCCATGCTCAAACACTGAGTCACAATGGCTGGGCTTATTCTTGTTCTTTAAAAAATATTTACGGAGACTTTTAAATCCTAAGACAATACTCTCTCTTATCAAGTACTAAGTAGCTGAAATGTCTATCTAAAAATGGCCACAAAAAGAAATTTTGTAAATTGGGCACATTTACTGAGAGATATTTATTCTGGTTTCTTTAAATAATTTTTAAAAGTGGAAAAGGACACACATTCTAAGATATTATTAATATTCTCTTTCTAAAGTTGTATGGTGGTGGCTATCCACTTTCTTTGTTTTAAAAAACTGGACATATATGTACAACTCTTTTTTTTATGTGTGATACTTTAAAATTAAAAGCCTTAAGATGGAGTTTTGAGGATAATAGAGAAAATGACTGATATTAATATCTATTAAAAAAAATAAACTATGAAAAATGTTCAATTTTATATCATACCTTGCAATACCAAAAGAAAATCATATATTTTTTTAAAAAAAAACACTGGACTCCTTATCCAGTTATTTAAACAGTGAGTGCTGCATCTACAGACCAGCAGTTGAGGTGTTTGCTGTGAGTCCTTTCTCTCTGAAAGCCACCATCCCCCTGGGGGCAGCCACAGATTTGTTGCCCACCTACTTTGTTCAAGATGTTGTCTGGAGGCACAAAATTAGCACACACCTGAACCTTACTTTCAAGTTCTTAACAGGCTAACAGAAAGTGAAATAAAAGGTGCTGTTTACCAATAAAAAAAAAACAGACTTCTTCAGTGAATAAAGACTTATCACAGATATAACGTGAGAAACTTAAAATAACCCCTAAAAGATGGTTTAAAATGTGGATAATGCTGGTTCCCTAAAGCTCTCTTATGGGCAGTTAGGAAGGAAAAATTAGTATGTACATTTAGCATGTACTCTTAAAACTCCAAGCACATTGAAGTTGATCTCAAAGATAAAATGGCATGACCATGGCATGTTTAATAGGAAGATAAATTGTATATCTATGCACCTATTTTTCTACCAGTTTCTGAAGTGATTTTCCCTTTGTATCTTGCATGACCTAAAAAAAAACACTTCCCGACCTGTTAGGGAAGAAGGAAGAAAGGAGAGAGAGGGAGGGAGAAGGAAAGAAAGAGAGGGAGACAGGGAGAGAGGAAGAGAAAGGGAAAGTGAGGGTGAGGGAGAGAGATGTGAGAGAGATACATCTATTGGTTGCCTTCTGCACTTGCCCCGACTGGGGATTGAACCCAAAACCTGGGTATGTACCCTGACTGGGTATCAAATCGATGACCTTCTGGTGCATCAGACTACGCTCTAACCAACTTAGCCACACCAACCAGGGCACTTCCTGACACTTATTATCTAGCAAGACATTTACTGAATCTCAGTTAAAAGAAATATAAAAAAGAACACCTCATCTTTTCTCCCAATGGAAATTTCATAGGCTTTCTGCAGCTCCTTCAAGCTGTTGATCTGGTTGCACAGTTGTTTTAAATGTGCTGCATGTTTTTCTTTCTCTTTTTTCATTTCCATACGGTGCCAGTCAATAAAATTTAGTCTCCATTTAGTTAGTTCAGATATGACGTTTGTCTGAAAAAGATATATTCTGATAACTAAGCAGTTTGTTCCTTAATAGTGCTCCTTGAAATTACAACGAAATTAAGAAACACTTTAAAAAATCAGAACAAGCAATCAACATGAAAGCTATTTTTAAAAAAATCACTAATGAAAACATTTACAAGTTCAACAGTTACAGCTCCTCTTGGTTCACATTCACCATACTAAAGATATGGATTTTTTTTTATTTTAACTTACTTTGTATTAAATCTTATTGTCATTTAAAAAAATTTCAGGTCTTATTCATTAATTCACTAAATATATAGTTTCTTTGTTTATTCAAGAACTTAAATGTCCATATTAAGATGGGCTAGGAAAAAGGAAATGTAGGGCCATGCACTAGGGTGAGCCATAGGACTGGATGCTATTTAGATAGAGGTGGACAGTGGGAACCATGGGAGTTGATGCTTTCTTCCCCCAAATAATTTATCACAATGGCTACATTAACAAAGTGCTAAGTCTGATCCCTTTTCACTCTACTGATTGGTATAAATAAAAAGACCAAATAATCATGTTATCAAAAATCATATAATATGGTTAACTGAACACAGAACAATTTAAGTGGTTGGTGATACACCACTCCAGTTGACTTACACCATGAAAAGAGACTTACACCATGAAAAGAAGTATGAAACCTGTTCCATGAGGGAAATGGTAGAAACTATATGAAAAGATTACATCTGGGATTTATAGTTCAAATAACAGAGAAATATAGATGCCCTAGAACTCTCATGAACACAATTTCTCTATGCATGTGAATATTCAACCTCGTTTTCTCAAACTACCTTTCAGAAAATTGGTATTTTCTCAACTCTATTTTAAATAGCAAAAAGAAACCCTGCCACTTCTTTTTTGGTAATTTTTTTTTAAAGCGAGTCTTTTAAAAAAAATGTTTTTATTGATTTTTAGAGACAGAGGAAAAGAGAGAGATAGAGAGAAACATCAATGAGAGAGGAACATCACTGATTGGCTTATTCCTGCATATACTCCTACTGGAGATTGAGCCCACAACCCAGGCATGTACACCAACCAGGAATCAAACTGGCAACCTCTTGGTTCTTGGGTTGACGCTCAACTGCTGAGCCAAACTGGCCAGGCGCTCTGCCATTTCTGTAATACTTTGTTTTACTTAAAGGCCACAACATTACTAAAAATAAAAATCCGTTTTTATAGAGATATCAGTTATATATGTGGTTGCTATAAGAATGGCTATAAAATGAATACATAATACTAAAATTGAATTTTGTATTTCATATAAAGGAGACATTTTCATTAGTCATAGCTACAATATAGTAAAGGTTCATTGAGTGTCTCAGTCACATACAGGGTTAGTCTTTTAGAACATCCGAGAAATTCACTAGACCGTCCCATCAACTATTTAAAACCTTGCTATTTAAAGCATGTTTTCTGAACCAGCAGCATCACCTGGGATATTGTTAGAAATGGATAATCTCAGGTCCTCAAAAACAACTGAATAAAAAGCTGAAGTTCAACAGGATTCCTGGGGGATTCATATGGACATCAAAGACTGAGAAGCACAGAGTTTAGACATTGGACTGATCAAAAACTAAAGATTAAAAAGAACCTTTTATTTTAAAGAAAAGAAAAACTGGAATTAAGAGCAAAACTATTATACTAATCCAACAACAATACCTTAAGACCTGAACTCCAAAGATCCAGTACACTTTCCACCTTTTGAAGGTTTTCTTCAGAAACAACAGAATTGCCCACAATTATTTCATGGATACCTGCATGACTAGAATTAGACCCTGGTGTGGAAGAGTCGCCTAAAATATTTGAACTGAAAAAATCCATGACCGGGTGAAAAGGCTTCCTTGGTGATGACACTGGTGATAACCCTAGAATGAAAAAAAGTTTAGTGGTTAAGGCAAACTGAAAACAACCCAAAATGGTGAGGACTTATATTGGAAGGCTAGAAGATGTCAGTTACTATAGAGGCTGAGAAAAATGCAGAGAAATGACTTTTCAATGTACTTAATCTGGATAATTTAAATTTCAGTATTGTCACTGATTTAGGACTAATCAGCATGAGATGCCTCCTATACTCAAATAAAGATGCTTCATATATCCAGCTCCAGCCTGAGCTGAAACTATTATTATCTGTGTCATCACATCAGCATTTTCTAAGTGCTTTGTATGTTCCTATAATAAAAATGTTATAAGGATTAGCTCTCATAATACATGCTACCCTAAGAAATACATACTATTATCTCCATTTTACTGATTCCAAAACTGAGGTTCAGAAAGGGTTAAGGAATTGACCAAGGTCAGAGTGGCTGTATATAGGTTATTATAACTTTATGTAGAACACTGGGATGAATTTTAATACTATTAAATGTCAGCACTATACGTAGAGACTAGTTATTTAATTTGTCAGATACTCAACTATAAGATACCCTGTTGGCCCTCAACATATAGGTGAGAAATATATATACTTTATATAATATAATATAATATAACATAATATAATATATATATACTTTATATAATATATATATACACACTCCCATCTCCTCTTGCCCATATACAGGGTGTAGAGATGGGAGTCAGAGCCAGAGCCAGAAAGAGAACTGGTATATATCTTTAAAAAAGCACAGAATATTTTATCACACATGTATGTTGGAATTAGAGACTAGTGATCATCATTTCTTGCATATCATACTTTTGTTATGAGGATCCTATAACTAAGACTGAAGGGCTTTTCCCTCTTCCTTATTGAATGATTCAAAACAAAGATAAAGATAAATCTACTATAGAACTTGTTACTTAAAAGTAAATCAAGAATATTTGCAAAAGGAGGAAATCGTTCTCTAATATGTATGTTTTGCATAAAAATATATAAACAAATGGTTTAAGCTAGTTACACTATGTAGACTACCTATATATTCTGAAGATGGTTTAGGAACTCAAATAATAAGGCACATTAATAGTATTTTTTTACTAGATTTTACTAACTAGATCTGCACTCATGGACTCTGGACTCTGCTTTAATTTTTTTTTTTTAATAATACACTCACCTTTAAAAAAAATGGAATCTTGGTTTGCTATTCACTTGACTAAGAAAACCCCACAAAATCATGCAAATTAAGAAGTTCAGATCTTTAAGTTCACTTTAAGAACACTTGTGAAACTGCCAAGGCTATCATGGGGATGGGAATACAAAAAGCCACCATGTATTTGAAGGATGTCATTTTATAGAAGCTACTAGAGGCTGGGGGGGGGGGGGGG